CATCAAAATACAGGCCACTGTAAACAGCTTTTTTTTGTGGACTGTCAAAAAAAAACTTAGTTTTTTTTTTTGAAAAAATATACTTTGAAGAAATAAAATTTAGAATTAGAAGAACTTTTAATTTAAATTCACATCTTCAAAAAAAACGGAAAGAAGGAGAAAAAGAAATGGTCTTTCTAATAAATGTGTAAAAAACAATTTAGCATTTTGATTTGAAAAGAAGGAAAGACTAGCTTAAAATTTAGCAGTAACGTAATTGACTTCACGGTCTATATAGTCTAAGCTGGTCGTTGCATAGTCGGCAAAAAAAAGTAGTTTCTAGTTTAAAAAAAGCCTTACAAACAACAAAACAATTTACTTCTACTGTATGTGACTGTTTTTACAGCCGAAGGAAAAAATTTTGCCTTTTTTCAGTTGTGTTTCCTACAACATTTTTTTCAGTACAATAGGAAGGAAAACGGAACAAAGCAGCTAGAATAGAAGAAAAAATCGTAAGGTTTACAGAATCACAAAGTATTGTATTGATCTATCTCGTAAGTGAATGGGAAAAAAATTGATTTTGTTTTTTTTTCAACGTCTGTTGTTTCACGTGTAATAAACAAGTTTGACCTTTCATCACAAACTAGTGCAATCTTAATTTTTACCTGTCAATTCTTTCTTTCTGTCTACTCATTTTTTCTTTGTATTTTTATCTTCCTATTCATTCGATTTTTTACCAGAAAAAACTTTTATTTGAACTGTAAAATCATTCAGAGTAACAATTATTTGATGGAGGAATTTTGTTCATTAATCTTTTGCGTTTGCACTTTACCTCTTTTTTTTCCTCTGTCATTGCTATTACTGTTGTTACTATCATTATTTCTAATCTCATTATTATAACCACCACCACTATCAAAACTTCATTATTATCATTATTCCCACTGTTAGAGATGATACAAATATAAATATTAATTTAAATATTAGCAATATTGACATCATCACTAATACTGACATTGATGTTGTTATAAGTGTTCATACTGATATTGGTATTGGTATTGGTATTGGTATTATTATGATCATATTACTCTTATTGTTTTAAGTATTACTGTTTGATGACGGAGAAGATGTTATTGACGATGCTATCAAAAAAATTCCTTTTTTTTCTTCTTTTAACCCATGTCTTCTATTTCAATGTTGTTTTTTGGTTTTTATAACCCGGAAGGGTCGGCAAAGAAAAACTGTTCAAAATAGATCTACTAATGCAATTAAAAATAATTCTTTTATTGAATAGAAGAAAAAAAGAAGTAAAAAGTGAAAAGATCAGCTGAAAACTTTATCCTATTCTGCTGTTTTAATTATCAATTGGTGTCGCCATTGTCACTGACATCGTTATTAGATGCTTTATTTTGCTGTTTAATATGCATATTTTAGACAGCCCTAAGCCACTTATTGTAGAATCATTCACCTGTGCCGATCATTGACTAAACTCAGCAGAAATAATATTGGTGATAACAGTAACTGGGGTACTAGTAAACAGCTTTCTTGGCATTTGTTTCTGTATTATGATGCTGAATACAGAATAAACTTTATTGAAACAAAGATCACAATTTCATAGAAAAAAATCAAGGAAAAGGAGGTTTTAAAATAGAAGACGGTAACGATAATAATTGAAAAATAATATCACAGAATGTTGAATTAAGACCAACAAAAAACAGGATGTAAAAAAAAAAACAAACAAAAAAAAAAACAAAAAAA